TTCTGATATTCTGGAGCATGCCCCATAGTAGTAAATACAGAGGTCATGGGTGTTTTATTGTTAATTTATTTTTGCCACACTGGGGTCGAGTCTAGGGCCTTACACATGCTAGGCCAGTGCTCCGAGCCACAGCCCTGGGCCCTGTTTTCTTTTCGGCAGTACTGGGGATCAAACTCAGGACCTTGTACTTGCTAGGCAGGTGCTGTACCACTAAAGCCACTCCACCAGCCCTTTTTTTGTGATGGGTTTTTTTTGAGATGGTGTCTTGTGAACTTTTTGCCCGGGCTGGCTTGGAACCGTGATCCTCCTGATCTCTGCTTCCTGAGTAGCTAGGATTACAGGCGTGAGCTAGTGGTGCCCAGCTTTCTCTCTTTCTTTTTGGCAGCACTGGGGTTTGAACTCAGGGCCTCACACTTGCTAGGCAGGCACTCTACCACTTGAGCCCCTCCACCAGCCCTTTTTGCTTTAGTTTTTTTACAACAGGGTATCACGTTTATGCTCAGGTTGGCCTGGACGTCTGTCCTGTTTGTGCTTCCCCTATAACTGGGATGACAGATATGCACCATCATGCTCAGTTTTATTGGTTGAGATGGGGGTCTCACTAACTTTTTGCCCAGACTGACCTCAAGCCTGAATCCCCCTTTCTCTGCCTCCTTAGTAGCTAGGATTACAGGCGTGAGCTGCTGTGCCTGGCTCCTTTTGGAGCGTTTTGTGCCTGGCTTCTTTTTCTATCCAGTATCTTGCTGCAGGTTCACCCGGGTTGTGGCATTCGTCTGTAGCTGGTTGCTTTTTGATGCTGAGTAGTGTTCCGTCATATGGGTGGGGGCAGTCTGTCTGTCTGTGGATGGATATTAGGGTTGTCTCCATGTGTCCTTGTTTTAAAATCATTCTTGTCACTGGGCATGGTGGTGCACGCCTGTAATCTCAGCTACTCAGGAGGTGGAGATTGAGAGGATCTCAGCCCAGGCAAAAAGTTAGTGAGACCCCATCTCAACCAGTAAGTCTGCTGCAGTGGTGCTTGGGAGGCAGAGGCTGAAGGACTGAGGTTCAGGCCAGCTTTGCGCAAAACCTCAAAAGAAACTGATGCGAAGAGAAAATTGGGGATGTAGTCCAGGGAGTGGAACACCTGCCTAGGCCCTGAGTTCGACTGCCAGCAGCACCAAAAGTACTACTGGCCATTGGTGGTCGTTTAGGTGACTCACACACTTGGAGGCTGCCCACCTTTCTCAGGCTGGCATTGCCAGGACTCCCCCATGTTCTTTTCCTGGTGAAGCCCAATGCCTCTTTCTTTTCTTTTGTTTGTTTGTTGGTTTTTGAGACAGGGCCTTACTATGTAGCCCAGGCCATCCTCCTGCCTCAGCCTCCTGAGTTCTGGGATTACAGGTGTGCACCACCATGCCCAGCTCCTGGTACAGTTTTTTTTAAATATCCAGCTCACTGTCCCCTCTTCTGGCTGCTGGGTGGGACAGGGTGGCGTCCCAAGGGCTGACTGTAGCATTCTCTCCCTACTTTGTGTTCCAGAGCTCTGACCTTTGGCCTTGGGAGAGGGACAGGGACAGGGACAGAATCACAGAATCTGCTGTTGGGCAAAAGGCCATGTGTTTCCCTGCTGTTATCTAATCAGCTACCTGGACCAGCTGTGACTGAAAGAAAGCCATCCTACCGGTGGAGAGCAGGGCAAAGTCCACCCCCCACCTGCACCTGGGTCGGGGCAGGGCAGAGCTGGGGAAGGGTCACTTTGTGCCCAGTGACCGCATGGCTCACCTTCTGGGTGCCTGGGGTTGTCTGCCAGGACCTCTTCTGGGCCTTTTATCTGCTCAGACTCACTTCCACCTCCCGGGGTGGCTGCTGTCCTTGTGTCCATTGCACAGAGGACGAAGCTGATAGGGCCAGTGACATACGGGGTCATCCCGTGGGAGCGAGCAGGCCAGGGCCTCAGACAGCCTGTGGCAAGGGCTGGGCGAGTGGAGCCCTGAAGAGAGGGAGAGGTAGGGATATAGGACGGTTGTTTGGGCCCGATTCATCCCCAGAACCAGGGTGAGCAGGCCAAAGGACAGGAAAGCGTGGGTTCTGGGGTCCCCGCGGCTTCCTGGGGCATCCAGCTGGGGGAGGAGGCAGGGCTGGTTCACCTGCTGGTTTCACACCTGCTGTGAGCTAGAACTGACACCCAGAGAGCCATTTAGCGTGTGCTCTTTGATGGGTTTGGAGGGAGGAAAGGGTGTGTGTGCACGTGTGTTTCCTTCCAGCCCCTGGCTCTGGGCTCAGCCCCTGTGGACAGAGGAGGCTAGGCTGAATGGTGCAGCAAGATGGCAGGGGGCGTGTAGAGCCCCAGTGGGGCCGGTCCTGTCCTGGGGCAACGCTCTGCTAGACACCCGTGTATCTGTCTTTGCAAGCCCCACCTGGTCACCCCTGGTATTCAGATGAGAGGGCTGAGGGTCAGAGAGGGAGGAACTGGCCCAGGGCCGGGGATGGGTTGGGGCTGTGTTGGGTTTAACCTCCTGGGAGGGGGTTTAGGAGTGAAAGGAGATGTTCATTCATTCATCCACCATCCACCCATCCACCCATGCATGCATCCATCTGCCATCCATCCATCCATCCATCCACCCATCCACCCACTCATCATCCATCCACTCATCTGTCCATCCACCCATCCATCCACCCATGCATGCATCCATCTGCCATCCATCCATCTGCCATCCATCCATCCATCCATCCATCCACCCATTCACCCATCCATCCACTCATCTGTCCATCCATCCATCCATCCACCTGTCCATCCATCCATCTACCCATCCATTCATCCACCCATCCATCTAGCCACTGTCCATACATCCACTCACCCACCCATCCACTTATCCATCCATCCACCCATCCATCTATTTGTCCAAAGCCTCCGCCTGCCCCCACTGTCCTTCGTGCTAGAGTTCAGCTGTGAACATGGCCGCAGCACCCGCCCTCATGGAGCCGACATCCAGGGGCACCTACCTAGTAATGGTGATCATTTCAGCTCCTGGTCATTGTCACACAGTTGTAGCCACAGAGCATCAGCTGGGACTGGGGGGCCTCAAGCAGGGAAGGCAGGGGCCTTCTTCAAGGTGGCACTGGGGATGTCCCCAGGTGTAAAGGGCCACCTGTGTCCCAGGCAGAGGGACTGACAGTGCTCAGGCTTGAAGGCAAGTGAATGCCAGTGACAGACAGGGCACCAGGTGACAGGCCTGTGTGCTGGGGAGAGGGAGGCACACCTGCAGGCTGTGGTTGGGATGGGGTGGTGGGAGCAGTTGGCAGATAACCCAGGGGTTGGAGTCATTAGGGATCTAGTTTACATGCAACCCCCACCCCCAGGAAGGCTTCATGGGTCCCCTCAGTGTCCTCAAACTGCTTGTCACACCTCTCCAGCCCTAGCTGTGACTCAGTTTCCTCATCTAATGTGGGGATAGTAAGAGTGCCCAGGGAGGGGGGGTGCAGTGTGAGCAGCTGGCCTGGCATAGGGACACCCCCGGCCCACTGGGCCTGTTGCTGCCTGTGCCCTGTGGCTCAGGTAGTGGGAGGAGCCTGCGGCAGGGTACCCAAGCCGGGAGGAAGCGAGTTCAGTGAGCAGTGAAGGTGTCCTTGACCCCCCGCTTCATCCACAAGAACCCTGAAGTTCAGGCCTGGTTCAGAATCTCCCAGTCTTTAACTTGACAATGGAGTCAGTTTCTTCTCTTAAGTACCCAGTGGTGGCTATGGCCTTCCCTGCACCTTTGTACGGAAAGGGAAACTGAGGCATGGAGGGCCAGCATGGCCAGATGGTTGCTCTGTGTCTAGTCTCTCACTTTGCTTGTCTGTCTGGCCTCCCGCCTCCTCCAGGGCCTCTGCCTGTTGGTTCTGGCTGTTTGGGGACAGTGGGGAGCTGGTCTTGTCTGGGAAGGCCACGTTCAGAGACAGTAGAAGGTGACGCAAGCTTGTCCTGGCATCTTGGCTTTGTCACATGGCTCTCTGATGGCTTGGTGGGGGAGGGAAGGGGAGGTCCATCTGGACTCAGGGCAGTGAGCAGGTCAGAGGCCAAGGGAACTTCAGGCCTCTTTCCTTCCGCACTTGAAGACAATTGCATTTGTGGTTTTTCATGGAAAAGCCTGTTCTTATCTCCTGCCTCACAAGCTCAGCTCCTGTCCTCAAATTCTTTAGCCCCTCACCGTCTCAGGACTTTCGCACTGGCTGTTGTTTCTGTGTGGAGCACCTCTGCCCCCGAAGTCTTGTTTCCCTCCCTGCCTTAGGTTTTTTTTTTTTGGCGGGGGGCAGAGCAGGGTCTCATTATGCAACCCAGGCTGGTCTTGAACTCATGATCCTCCTGCCTCAGCCTCCTGAGGCTGGGATTATAGGCGTGAACCACCATGCCCAGCTCTGCCTTTGGTTTTTATTTTGATTTTGTGTTTTTTATACTTCATGTACCTGACGACTCTAAAATTCCTCCCCCTACCCCCCACCCCCAGCTTGTTTCTGCACACTCTGCCCACCAGCCTGTGTCTCACCTGGCTGTTTGACGCTGACTCCCCGCCGGCTCCCTGCTATGGTAAAAGCCCACATAGCTGGGGCAGGTTGGCCTAGTTTGCTCTCCTGCCTTTCCTAGAACAGTGGCTGGCTTTTAGCAGGTGCTCAGTTCATGTTTGCTGAGTGAATCAGTGAGTGAGTGAATGAAACACCGGGCCACACGGAGCCTTCCCACCTCCACAGCGCCGTTCAAAGCCACAGGGCTGCAGCCACCTCCTGCAGATGGTGTGGTCCCATGTCCTTCAGCCCTTTGACCCATGTCAACACAATGTGAATCTGTCACCTATTCGATCATGAGTTCTGGGTTCGAGAGCTGCACCTCCTGACCCCAGAGCCCTAGTCCGAGGACCTTCCCCAATGAGCTGTGTGGCCTTCAGCTCAGGCTGGGCTCAGGCAGCTCCTCTGAAGCCGTGAGGCGAGCGGGCGGGCACGGAACTGGCATCACCCCGTCATGGCGCCTTCCTCCCCTGCAGAACGTGCGTATCGACCCCAACAGCCTATCCTTCAGCATGTGGAAGGAGATCCCGGTTCCCTTCTACCTCTCCGTCTACTTCTTCGAGGTGGTCAACCCCGATGAGGTCCTGCAGGGAGGGAAGCCGCAGGTGCGTGAACGAGGACCCTATGTGTACAGGTAAGGCCTGGGGCAGGAGGATCTCGGGGGGCTGGGCTGGGCTGGGCCATGGAGATGGTTCCAGAAGCAGGCCAGAAGCCAGGGGCAGCGTGGTGCCCGAGTTCTTTATGAGCAGGGAGGAGGTGGGTTCGAGGCTGAGGGAGGACGGGTGTGTGAGTGGGGTGGGGCAGGGGACACATAAACCCAGGGCACGCAGGGGGACACCCACGGCTGGTTTCCACTGGGACCATGAGCAGGGCAGGCCTGTGCGGGGTGGAGGACGGGGAGGCCAGCACAAGAGGGGATGGCTGGCTGGGCACCCAGGTCATGCCTCTGGCCTTGTCCCTGCTGTGGCCTTGGGGTAGTGACATCATGCCTCTGAGCTTCAGCCTGCCTCTGCGGAGCCCAGATAAGACAATGCAATACCCACAGCGTGGGGCCCTCAGGACGAGTGAGGGACAGAGCGGTGACTGCAGGGTCCTGGGCTGGGGGCACCCAGTGACAGGGATGTGCCTTTGTATCACGCTGTCTTTACACCACCGCCCCTCCACGCCGGGGCTCAGACAGGCGTGCGGACTCGCTGTGCTCACACGAGGGGCAACAGGCCTGGCCGCTGCCCTGCAGCTGCTGGAGCCAGGCCCACCCCGAGGGCTGACTGACTTTCCTGGGGCATGGGGGGAGGGACAGAGAACGTCCCAGCAGCTGGGAGGCACAGGCTGGACGGTCTGAAAACTGGACACGTGGACCTGAGGCTTGGGTGTGGGAGACATTGCCAGGCCAGCTGTGTGCAGCTGTGGAGGCCCCCACGGAGCCTGGCTGTGTCTTGTGTGCAAAGTAGGAATGGATCGGGCTCACGTGACTTTGCAAACGTTCCCCTGGATGCTCTGTGGAGGGTGGATGGAGAGGCAGGGACAATGTGACAGCTGATATCATGCAATTTTTTTTTTTCAGCAATACTGGGGTTTGAACTCAGGATCTTGTGTTTGTGAGGCAGGCGCTCTCACTACCTGAGCCATATCCCCAGCCCTTTTTGCTTTAGTTATTTTTCAAATAGGGTCTTGAGTTTACGCCCCGCCTGGCCTGGGCTATGCAGCTCCTGTTTATGCTTCCCGTGGCACTGGGATGCCCAGCTCATTGGTTGAGATGGGGTCTCTCGAACTTTTTGCCTGAGCTGGACTGGAGCCTTGGTCCTCATGAGCTCTGCCTCCTGATTAGCTGGGATTATAGGTATGAGCCACTGTGCCCAGCATTGTACAGCATTTTCTATGCACCAGGCACCTGTTCTGATCGCTTTACACATGTGACTCATTTTGCCCTCAGAGCAGCCCTACAAAAGAGGTCTGGTTTTAAAGATGGGAAACTGAGGCACACATAGGAATGATGGAGACAGTACACCAGCCACTGCCGTCGGCATGTTCCTAACTGTCTTGAGGGAGTAGGGACGCCCCGTGGGTAAGGTGGCCAGGTGGAGGAGCCTGTGAGATCTGAGGTGCTCTCTGGAGCACTTGGGGGATCCATGCAGTGGTGTAGGCCATGGAGGTAACAGAGCCAAGTGACAGGGTGGTGGGAAACACACAGGGCGGGTGACCAAGGCCAGGTGTGGGGCAGTCAGGTTGTGATGCCCACGGCCAGAGGGGCTGTGACCACTAGCCGGCACTGCCCTGACCTGCTGGGAGCGCCCCCCGTGATGGGACCTGGCTGACTTGGTGCTCCCCACAGGGAGTTCAGATATAAGGATAACATCACTTTCAATGACAACGACACGGTGTCCTTCGTGGAGCCCCGCAGCTACCAGTTCCAGCCTGACAGGTCCCGGGGCTCCGAGAGTGACTACATCACCCTGCCGAACATCCTGGTCCTGGTGAGCTGCCCGCCCCCCTGCTTCTTGGTGCCCCTCCGCCTGCCTGGGATGAGTCTGGGTTTCTGGGTGGCCCCAGAGACCTCAAGCAGGGACGCTTTGGGGTCACCACACGTTGGGGTGGAGGCAGGCAGGGTCCCCAATTCTGTGCAGTGAGGGTCCTAGGAAGAGCTGACATTTAGGGGGTGTTTGCTGTGTGTCTGGTCCCCGAGGTCCCCTGGTTTGCTAACTCACTGGGAGACTATGAGGACTCAGCCCAGAGTGGAACCAGGTGGCCACCGACCTCAGCACCAGAGTGCAGCGCAAACCCAGGGGGGCAAAGATGCAGGGGCTTTGCCACAGGAGCCCCTGGTCCCCAGGTGTTCTGAGACACCACAGAGCCGGGCACCGGTGGCTCACGCCTGTAATCCCAGCTACTCAGGAGGCAGAGATCAGGAGGATCGTGGTTCGAAGCCAGCCCAGGCAAATAGTTCTCAAGACCCTATCTTGAAAAAAAAAAAATTACAAAAAAGGGCTGGTGGAGAGGCTCAAGGTGTAGGCCCTGAGTTCAAATCCCAGTACCACACACACACAAAAAAAGGCTGAGACACGGTAGAGATGGGCTCTGGTCATGCAGACCCAGCTCCCGGGTCCGTGTAGGGAGTGTGTTGTCAGCGAGAAGCAGGTGCCGGGCATAAACCCTGTGTCTGCGCCATACCCCCTCGGGCAGCCCTGGTCAGGAATGGCCAGGACCCTCCCCAAGTCCAAATCCCAGACAACAAACAGCAAGGCCGGCCTCGGGAGCCACCTTTCCAGGGCCACACAGTGAATGTTTCAGGCCCATTGGTTGTGACCCCCCCAACTCTGCCATAGCCCAGAAGCAGCCAGAAAATAACGCACACGGGCCACGTCTCCATGTTGACATACCACAGTGCAGCCAAGGTCATGGATGGCGAATGTGAACTTCATAGGATTTTCCTGTTTCTGGGAAGATTCTTCTTTTAGTGTTTTACCCTAACCATGGGAAAATGTAAAAAAGTCTTAGCTCATATACTGAACAGGCAGGCAGTGAGTGGCTTTGACCCACAGAGCAGGGTTTGCCAGCCCTGCTGTGGACTGTGGTTGGGAAAATGGCCAAGAACCAAAGAGCTGGAGAGGGATGTGTGTTTTATTTTATATCCTTTTGGATTTTTTTTTTTTTTAGAGGGGTTATGGTATTGGGGTTTGAACTCAGGGCTTGGCGCTTGCAAAGCTGGCGCTCTACCACTTGAGCCACAGCTCCAGTCCATTTTGCTCTGGGTATTTTGGAGATGGGGTCTCATGAGCTGTTTGCCTGAGCTGGCCTCAAGCCTCAGTCCTCCTGATGTTAGCCTCCCAGATAGCTGGGATTACAGGGATGAGCCACTGGTACCTGCCTGTTTTGATTTATTTTTTTAAGCCATGTGTTTATTACTTTTGAAAGCTTATCAGAAAGTAAAGGAGATCTTGATAAGTTACCGTGGCACAAGTCTGTCTCAGCCGTGCTCTAGAAAAGGAGGCCCCACAGGTTCCTCTAGAGGCTGACAGGGGCTTTCAGATGCCTTTGAAAAAATAAACCAAGGGCTGGGGATATGGCCCGAGTGGGAAAGCACCATGAGGCCCTGGGTTCAATCCCCAGTACCACAAAAAAAGAATAAAGAAACCAAGAATAAACAAACCAGACAGTATCTCCAGAGCAAAGCAAAAACGAACAGATAAGTTTGTGTTCTAAGCACCTGGGTGTCGGGTAGACGGGTGTCTGTTTCCTAGGGGGGGCACAGTAAGGAAAGGGATGGCATCTCCCAAGGACTCATTCCTTCCCATTTGTGCAGCACAGGGGTACGGGTTCAAGTTACTGCAGGATGGGGCTTGGGCTGGTTTCGTGTTTGCCTCAACCTGCGATGCACACAAGGTCGCCAGTCTCTGCTGGCTGCTACCCCTTGAGGTGGCTGCAGTTTTGCATGTTCCCAGGGCCAGTGCCAACTCAGGGGACCTCCCCTCTCTGTCCCCAGCCCTCCCTGTGGAATCCCTGGAGGCACACTGGCTCTGACAGGGCCACCTGCTCACTCTCAAACCAGTCACCATAGCCTGGAGGGGGGGCGGGGGTGGGGAATGTCCTGGCCTCTGACCCTGGGTGTGGCGTTAACTGAGCCTGAGTCCACTGGAACAAAGGGGTCGGGGGACTCCCAAGGGCAAGTGGTGTGTCACCAAAGGCTTCCAGGGGGCCGATCATCCCCCGTCCACACCCGCAGAGTTCCCCGTGGGGACGAGGCCCGGTTGAGACTGGGGTCTGGCCAGCCCCATCCAGCCTGACCACTGTCCCTTGGCTCTGCAGGGTGCCGCGGGGATGATGGAGAACAAACCTGCCAGCTTGAAGCTGATCGTGACCTTGGCGTTCAGCGCCCTCGGCCAGCGAGCCTTCATGAACCGCACGGTTGGCGAGGTCCTGTGGGGCTACGAGGACCCCCTGGTGAGCTTCCTCAGCAAGTACTTCCCAGATATGTTCCCCTCCAAGGACAAGTTCGGGCTGTTTGCCGGGGTAAGTGTGACCGCCTGAGAAGTCCAGAGTTCAGAGACTGTGTTCTGTTCTCCATTGCCATGGCCTGGAGAGCATTATCGGGCTGGGGGTCCGGGGACTATGGGCTCTGAATGGCCAAGAACCTAACTCAGTGCGGCTTACACAAAATAGGGAATTTATTTAGCTTCTGACACTGAGAGCTCCAGGGTTGGATTCAGGTGCAGCTTGATCTAGGCGCAAATGTGATTAGAAAGCTGGCGGCAGAGGGGATGGCTGTGGGAGGCTGGAAACACAGGTCCACGCCAGTGTTGCTCTCAGTCTTGACCCCTGATTACCTGGTAGGGTCACTGACCGGGCTCTTGAGCTAAGATCTGCACATCCCATCTGCCTCCCTCTTGGCAGGGTGGACAGCCAACTTCCTCTTATTTTTCGCACATCAGAACTTAGCCATGTGGTCACGCCAGCTGCAGGGGAAGCTGGAAGAGGTGGCCTTTTAGGGTGTGTTTTGTTATGAAGAAGAAGGGAGTAACAAAGAGAATAGTCTACAACAAAATTCCTGGAAACCAATCTGAAAGCAACACAAAGTGGGGAGTAGACTTTGGGGCATAAATTCTGGGTTTGGAGTACCCTGGGTCTACGTGTAAGAACAGCACTGGGTGAGCTTTGATAATATAACATTGAAGATGCACATTTGAGGCTGGGCACCGTGTCTCACACCTGTAATCCTAGCTACCTAGAAGTGGAGACCAGGAGGATTGAGGTTTGAAACTAGCTGGGACAAAAAGTTCACAAGACCCCATCTTAACCAATGACTGATGTAGTGGCACACGCCTGTCATCCCAGCTATATGGGAAGCACACACAGGAGGACTGCAGTCCAGCCTGGCCTGGGCAGAAAGTGAGATGCCTGGGGCCTCTGAGCCATTGCTCAGTTGTCTGTGACCCGAAGACCGCTCACCAGTCACCAGTCACCACCCAGGCCTGTGCCCTGCGCCTTCCATGGCCCTGGGATCCACCCCGAGGGACGTGTCCATTCTTCTGTCCACTCTGAGCGCCCTTGTTCTGCAGAGCGACTGCTTCCAGGAGGCGCCCCTGAGGGCACCACGGTGTCTGTCATGCAGGTGGCTCTGCAGACCCTGCCATGCAGGACGGGCCAGGTGACACAGCCTGGAGTGCAGTGGCTTAAAAGCAAACTCTCACTTTTTGCCGTGGCCATCTGCTCATGGTCACTCAGGGACCCAGGCAAGGGAGTCCCCGTCCTGACGCCCAGGCACAGTCACCACAGCAGTGTGGTGCTGTCAACGACATGTGGCCATGTCAACGACGTCAGCCCCGCTGCCCCGGCCACGCTGCAGTTTAAGTCAAGATGGGTGGCGGTCAGCTGCCCTTCACCTGGGGATTATGCCCCTCCCAGGGCGGGGAGGTGAGGGGACAAGCCAGCCTGCTGTAACCCGGGCAGTGGCGCTCGTACAATGCCCACATCTCCTTCTTGTCCCCCAAGCTCTGGATGCACTGAGGGTGAGGGGTGGGGCCCTGTCCCTCTGGTGAGGGGGTCCCTGGACAGGTGGGCTTAAAGACCTGCTCCCTGCCATTGTCCCCAGATGAACAACTCGAACTCCGGGACCTTCACTGTGTTCACGGGGGTCCAGAACTTCAGCAGGATTCACCTCGTGGACAACTGGAACGGTCTCACCAAGGTGAGGGGACAGCGGACAGCCCCGACGCACGGCGAGGAGGGGGTCAGACGGGGTGGCAGGGTGGCCTCGGAGGGTGGCACGTGTCATGGAGGAGAAGGACACTCTGAACCTTAGCTGTGGGCCCGCGGGAGGGGTGCGCCCCGGTCCCCCGGGCTGGTCTGCTCTTCCTGTCGCTGTGCGTTTACGAGGAGTGGTGTTGAAATGCTTCGGCCGGAACACAGGAAGACATTCTCGTTAAAAGTCAGACAATAGGGTCAGGCACACACAGCGCCTTTGTGCCACTCGCCCCGTCCCACGAGGACAGCGGTCATGGGCGGGGGCTGTGTCTTCCCGTCTGTCCTCACGCAGCGAGGGAGAAGTGGGCTTTTGTTCTTCCGTGAGCGCACCGAAACGGGTCACACGCATTGTTCTGCACCTTGCTGTTTGAACCTTGGTGGCCTTTCTCTCCTTTTGATGTTGTTTTTGTGGTGCTTGGGAGGGGACCCAGGGACTCGCACGTGCCATGCGAGCACCAAACTACATCCCCAGCCCTCGTAAAAACATTTTCGTTTTATTTTGTTTTGAGACAGGGTCTCGTTATGTAGCTTAGGCTGGCCTGGAACTCGTCATCCTCCTGCCTCTCTTCAGTGCTTGGATTATAGGCAGGTACTACCATGCCTGGCCAATGACCTTTCTTAACAGATGATATTAATATTCTTGATTTTCCTTCTTCTTCTTCTTTCCTCTTCTCTCTTACTCCATCTCCTCTTCCTCTTCTTTCTCCTGCTTGGGCGCTTTACCACTTGAGCCACTCCACCAGCTCTTTTTTGAGATGGGTTGTTTTTTGAGATAGGGTCTCCTGAGCTATTTGCCTGGGCTGGCTTCGAACCTCGATCTTCCTGAACTGCTGAGTAGCTAGGATTACAGGTGTGAGCCACTGGCGCCCGGCTCTGACTTGTTGTGCATGGTTCAAAAAGTTCTAGTTGTACAGGAGATGATGAGTGAGCTCCAGTTTTGTGTCCAAGTCCCACAACCCAGAGGCAGCGATTCTGATCGGTTCAGTTTTGAGGTCTACCGCCTGCCACCGTGGTGGCTTTAAATGGTTTGCATGGTGCCATTTTTCCAGCCTCCCTGTTTTTAGGAAGCGTTTGTTGACCGCCACTGGGGAGAGATGTAGGTGACAGGCCCACTTTGCAGATGAAGTAACCGAGTCCCCAGCCAGAGGTGGGAAGCCATGCGGGGCTCTGTCTGTCTACATGGCCTACCCTCCCTGCAACACATTGCCAGGGTGGGAATTGGGAGGTGACACCTGCAACAGGGCCGTCCAGGGTGCAGCACCCCGGTGTGTTGCCTATGTCCGGGGCCCTGGCTGTGCTGTGAGCTCACGTCCCAGTGCTTCCTCCACGCAGCTCAACTTCTGGCACTCGGATCAGTGCAACATGATCAACGGGACCTCTGGGCAGATGTGGGCCCCCTTCATGACGCCCCAGTCATCGCTGGAATTCTACAGCCCTGAGGCTTGCCGGTAACCACGCTGACAGGGCTTGCTGGTGTCCCGGGCGGGCGTCTGCTTCCCAGACGCTGTCCCGACAGCCACGTGGCCCTGGCCCCAGACACCATCTCGAATTCTCTTTGGCTACACCACAAAGAGACAGACTCAGATGCCTGGGGCTTCTGCCCCGTCCCCCAAGGCTGCAGGTGATGATGGTGGTGATGGAGGCTGTGGAACAGGAAATGAACCAGGCTGCGGGGGGCTGAGAGGAAGCAAGGGCTGGGCTCCCCTGGCACCCGGATGGCTGTCCTGGGTCACTGGGGTGATGGACACACAGCTTTCCTGGGCCTTGGGGCTCCACTCAGCAGCCGAGAGGCCTGGGGCCCACAGCTCAGGTTGGCGCCTTCCCCATGGCCTGCCTGTGCATTGGGACAGACGTGGGTCCCCAGAGCCCTGCCCTTCCACCCCGGCCACTCCAGAAGCGTCCTTCACTTGGGAGCTCACGAGGATGACTGGTTTTTTTACATTTTTACTTTTCTTTCTTTCTTTCTTTCTCTCTCTCTCTCTCTCTCTCTCTCTCTCCCTCTCTCTCTCTCTTTCCTTCCTTCCTTCTTTCTTTCTTTCTTTCTTGTGCTGAGGTCAAATATATCATAGTTGAATTCACCCCCTCCACCATTCTCCTTTAGCCACCCTCCCCCCAGGCGTGACCCTTGACTCCCCAACACACCCAGAGAGCCCCACTGTGCCAGGTGCAGACACGGGCTGGACAAGACGGCTAAAGTCCCTGGGCCCTGGTGACTCCATCCCATCGGGGATTCTGGCAGTGCCCATTGTCGGAGGGAGAGTATTTTGCTGTGTGTGTGGCCCTTTCAGAAAACAGAATTTTGTTCTATTTTATTATTTTTTCTGCAGTGCTGGCGAGGGAAGCCAGGGCCCTCCACATGCAAGGCAAGCACTGTACCACTGAGCTCCACCCCCAGCCCAAAGAGGATTTTATAATTTTTTTCTTTTCTTCGGTGGCTCTGGGGCTTGAACCCAGGGCCTCACGCTTGCTGGGCAGACACTCTACAACTTGAGCTACATCTTCAGCTCTAAAGAGAGGGTTTTAAACATAGAGAAGAGTGGCAGGAAAAGTATAGGCGACCCCCATCTACCCTCCACCTTAGCTTCCCATCACTGTGACAAATGCCAGAGAGACAACCACCTTACAGAGAGGGAAGGTCTGTTTTGGGTCAAGTTTGGAGGTCCAGGCCCGTCCTGGCCTGTGGTGAGTATTGTGGGTGGAGGTGTTTGTAGAGCAAAACTGAAAACCACTCACCCACTGTAGGGCCAGGGAGCAAAACATACGGAAGAAGAGACTGGGGTCCCACAACCCCCCCCTGGAGGCCACCTCCCCAATGACCTGAAGACCCCTCCCCAGGCCCCACCTCTAAAGGCCCCACCGCCTCCTGGAAGCATCAAGACTTCAGCACAGGGGATGTTTGGGGACAGGTGTTTCTTTCACCCCATCTTCTGGGCCGTGACCCCATGCCCTGCTCGAGATATCCTTTTTCCTGAACCCTGTGACAGCAGGTGGGAGACAGTGGGTCGTTTTGTTCTTCGATACATCAGTGTGAATCTTCTAAAAACAGACGTTTTCTTACATAATCAGAGTTCTCAAAATTAAGAAATCTCGCACTGATCTGATAGGATTGTATAAGCCAGTGCTGTCCTTAAAAATAAAAAGTGAGTCACACTTTCCAGCAGCCGAGCTGAAATGATGCATTTTATTTGACCTGGTCTAAAATATTACTATCCTAAATATTAGAATTTTTTTTTTGGTATCAAGTCTTAGAAATCTAGACTATCCTGTCCCATCCTTAATCAGACTCAGCCCATTTCCAGGGCTGGATGGTCACATGTCCTTAAGTGGCTACCATGGACAGAGAGTAAAACACAGGCCATTTTTAATTTAGAAGTGCTTTTGAACTGGCCATGGTGGCTCACACCTGTAATTTTAGCTACAAGGGAGGAGGCGAACATCTTAACCAATAAAAGCTGGGTTTGGTGGCACAGACCTGTAATCTCAGGTCCTCAGGAGGCATGGGCGGGAGAATCGTAGCCCCAGGCCAACCTGGGCAAAAAAAGAGAGACCCTATCTGAAAAATACCTAAAACAAAAAGGGCTGCTGAAGTGCCTCAGTGGGTAGAGCCTGCTTAGCAAGTGTGAGGCCCAGAATTCAAACTTCAGTGCTGTCCAAAAAAACTTAAAAAGAAAAAAAAAAGTGCTTTTGAGAAAGGACGGCAGTGTGCACAGATGGTGTGAACAGGGTAGGCGGGGGCACACTGTCTGTGTGCAGCCTCGAAGAAACATTCCAGGCAGAAAGGACCGGCAGATACAAAGGCCCTGGGGCAGGGAGGAGGTCTGAGTGGATGGCGAGGGCCCAGCAAAGCATATGGTAACCCACGGGGATCGGTCCCCAGGTCCCCGTGGACACCAAAATCCTCAGATTCTCAAATCCCCTCCAGAAGTTGGCATGGCCTTCCCACATACCCTAGGGCACCCGCCCAGGCACACTAAACCCCTTCCAGGTTCCTGATGGCACCTGTGGCGTCAATGCTGTGTTTGAAAGTGGCTGTGATTGGTCCTTGTTTAGGGCCCAAGCACAGGGAAACGCCAGCCCGCCCTCGCCACAGATGCAGTGTTTTTCCCTGGATATTTTTGACCCGCCATTGTTTGGATCCTTGGGTGTGGAGGGTGAATGGGCTCCTGGAGGGGGTCACGGGTTCCGGGGTCACTTCTACCCCCTGTCCCCACTGCAGGTCCATGAAGCTGGTCTACCACGAGGCTGGGGTGTTTGAAGGCATCCCCATCTATCGCTTCGTGGCCCCAAAAACCTTATTCGCCAATGGGACCGTCTACCCACCCAACGAAGGCTTCTGCCCGTGTCAGGAGTCCGGCATCCAGAACGTCAGCACCTGCAGGCACGGTACGTGTCATTCCCCAGGACGGGACAGAGGCCAAGGGTGGAGGGCGGGGCACCCGTGTCTGCTGAGTCTCTGGTCTCTGCACTCTTGCTAGTGCCATTAGGCGCAGATAAGGAGCAGCAGAGCGATGACGCGAGAGGAAAAACGCTGGTGCATTAGATGCTACTGTGATAAATTCCCGCAGACTCCCTGGCTTAGAGCAGCACAAATCTGTTATCTCACATTCTGTAGTTTGGAGGTCTGCCATGGTCTTCCAGGGCCAAGGTCAAGGTCCTGGCCGGCTGCATTGCTTTCAAGAGCTGGGGAGGAATTCACTCCTTTGTTCTTGAGGCGCCTGCACTCCTTGGCCCAGGGCCCCTTCCTCCATCTTCAGTGCCAGCAGCGTCGAATTTGTGGGGCTCACCTCTGTCCTCATGTCTTTTTCTCCATCCCCCTTGCAGTTTTCAGGACCCTGGAGATGACATCCAGCCCGGCTGGGTGATGCAGGAGGCTCTCCGTGTCTTAAAAGCAGCTGACCACAGCCCCATCCCCCTGCAGCCTTATTTCCCCTTTGTCCTTGGGTGTGCCACAGCCATAGGTGCTGGGGACTAGGGTGTGGCCCAGGACATTGTCTGGGACCATTAACCTGCCCCCCACATCACGATCTGTGGCTGGAGAGTGAGGCTGGGCCAGGTCCCTTTGCCCCAGTCTGGGATGAGAGCAGCTGGCCACACACGAGCTGTTTCGTAAGGCCCTGTTGTTTGGCAGTGCTGGGCGTGATGACTGTGCCAGCTCGGTGTCCTCCAGCGCCTTCAGTGTTTTCAAGTGTGTGCCGGTCCCCATGGCGTCTACCTCTGCTGCTCAATCCAGACACTTGGGTGTCAGCTCTGTCCCTTATTTCCCCATCATGGGTGCCTTTAGGCCCTGGTGGGCTGGGGCTCCCCTCTACCTTCAGTCTCAGCCTTTCCTCTCTCCCCCTGCCTCCTCGGCCCCTGGGACCTAAGATTCAGTCCCCAGATGTCAGCATGGTCACCACAGGCCAACCAATTTGCATCAAGTCAAATTTAAAGGGCCTTTTGTGTGGTACTGGCCCCATGTTTCGTGCTTGCCGGTCACCTGTGCCCGGTGGCCACTGTGTTGGCTGTAGAAAGCCCTGCTGGAGCCTGGACTGCTGTCCAGGGAGCTCTCAACAAACACGGACTGTCACCCCATTGCTTGCTAACATCTAGCAGCTGGCTGTCATTTATAGTGATGACCAAACTCCTTCCTGCAGCCCTGGGGCCTGCATCACTTTCCCTGTTTCTGGCCTATGTCAAATTTAGTCCACCTCAGGACATAGGGTCAGCTGTCCCTGCTCACAGAGCCTCTTCTCTGGATCCCTCTGGTTCGTGCTTTCCCTCATCCTACTTTGATCTATTAGGTGCCACCTCCTCCTGGAGGCCTGTTCTGATTTCCTGTCCTCTGTTTGCTCCCAGCTATTACTCTGTTACCTCATCCTTTCTGTGTCCCCTGCAGCTCGTCACTGGTTTATTTCACTCGGTCATTGTCCACCTGCTCTGTGGCTGTAGTCAGGGCTCGCAGGTCTCCTGGGCTGAGTCCTGAGCCCCTAGGCCTGTGCCCAGTGTATGGTGGCTTCACACAGTGACTGGAGGGACAGATGCCCGGGTGGGTCCCATTCTCGGGACGCCGAGGTTACGTGGCTGGTGGGAAAGAAGTCGTCCTCTCTCTGACTGACTCTGGCCTTTTGGAGGCCTCTGGGTGAAGACAAGTCCTCTGGCTGGAGATGGTGGTTCGGGGGTCCACGTGCAGCAGGAGGGAGAGGGTGGGAGATGGCTAAGAGACTGGGCAGTAGACACCCCCAGTTTCAGGAGCAGGACACTCCATGGGTGAAGGGTTTGGTGCTGGGGCCTGAGATGCCCGCCCTGTCTGGCCCATTGTCCTCTGCGTCATTCTTTCTTCACTGGTGACCGCAGGAATTTCTGGATGTAGGTTGGAGCTGTTGGATGTCCTGCTAGGAGATGTGTTACAACCATGTCTGTGGCAAGTGGCAGGTGCCAGGCCTAAAAGGACACTTCTGGGTTTGTGTAACTTGAAATTCCAGGGCAGACTTCTGCATTTGGCATGCGTCCAGGGCAGGGACATTGTCTGGAAGCTGCCTTTCACCAGGTACCAGCTCGGGTTTCCCCTGGGCTGGCTCTACTGCTCCCTCAGGGGCCGTGGAGGCTCCAGTCTCACCTCCCGGCAGAAGGGTCCTGCCACTTGCTCCAGCAAAAGTCCCAGGGTTCACTCTGATTGGTCTGCCTTCCATTCCGTGCCCAGTGTGGGCCAATCACTGCAGCGGAGCTTGGGCTATGCTAATTGACCAGGCTGTACCGTACGTTCAGACCCCAGCTCCATGGGTTGACTGGCACAGAACGGGGGGCGGTGTCTAAGTTGGGGTGTAGCAACCAGAAAACGGGGAGCGATTCGTGCCATCTCTCATAGCGGGCTTCACCACCTCTGTACAGCTGCCAAAAGAGTTTCCAAAGTGCAAGAGAACTTAAATGTATTTGCATGTATTTAAATTTATTTACATATATCAACATTGATTTAAATATGGTGACATTTAAGTATATTTAAATGGGAACACACACATATAAAGGAGTGCCAGCAGTTTGAAACTTCACAAAGTGAACACACCCCTGTAGTCAGCAACCCACTCACTGTACTGACACACGGCACCACAGCTCTGCCTGCCTTTGGTCATCCTGTCATGGAATCACAAACTGTGTGTTTCTTTTCCCTCATTTTCTGGCTGCTTCTACGCATTATCACGTTGGCGTGTTCCATCCGAGATGCGGTGGTTGGTTGCGCGTGTCCTTTTCATTGCTCCACTGAGAGAGGACACCCCGATTCCCTCTCCCCTTCCATTGGTCATGGAGCGCCTGTGGTTTTTGGGCATTGTAGTTTTGCACGCGTGGCTTGGTGCACCCAAAGCTGCATGTCTGTGGCATTTAATCTAAAGATAAAAATTACCCACACGTTTCCCTTTCTGGGTAATTGTTTCTTGGTAATTTCTTGGACTCAGGACTCCCTCATCTCAGCCTCTCTGCCTTGTGAGGGCCTCTGACCTGCTCCAGAGAGCTCCTTAATCACAGCCCGTGGTAATCCTGGGCAATTATGTCTGCTTGGCTGTGCTGTAAAGCCATTAATCAATTACGTATATTGCCCAGGCAGGTCTCTGTGAGTGAGTTATGTGAGACACAGAATGTGCATTATTAAAAAGCCACATGGGCTCGTCTGGAGCGAGCATGGAGTTGGCACATTCTCAGTCATGACGGGGATTGTCCCCGTCCTGGCCTGGCTGAGGCTGCTCCATTTTCTGGGGGGTTCCACAGGTCAGCCTTGTGAAATGGGGTCTCATGTTTGTTTTCAAACCCCACTGTTGGGGTTTGAACTCAGGACCTTAACCTTTGTCCACTCCACCAGCACTTTTTTGTGATGGGTTTTTTGAGATAGAGTCTGGCAAACTGTTTGCCCTGGCTGACTTTGAATCGTGATCCTCCTGATTTCTGGCTCTTGAGTAGCTGGGATTACAGGAGTGAGCCACGGGTGCCTGGCTTGTGTTTTGCTTTTGTCCCTTTCCATGGCTCAGACGATGGGAGACAGCGGTTTCTAAACTGTGATGGACTTTGTCCCTGTGGGTGCTAGAGATGTCTTCAGAGGGTCCAGGAAGGCAGCCTTGCTTGACGTGGACACACTCAGTGTTCTTCCTCATTCTCTTGACAACCGTGGCATCATCTCCAGCTATTGGTGTGGGCGTGCGAGGGCCTTTCTGACACTCCCTAGCCTATCTATTTGGTAGGACTGGGATTTGAACTCAGACCTTTGCACTTGCAAAGCAGGCGCTCTACCACCTGAGCCACACCTCCAGTCTGTTTTGCTCTGGTTATTTTGGAGATGGGGGCTTGGGAACTGTTTCCCCATGTGGCTTTGAACCTCAACCCTCCAGTCTCAGCCTCCTGAGTGGCTGGGATTACAGGTGTGAGCCACCGGTGCCTGGCCCAGCCTGTCTTTCTAACAGAGGACAAGCAGGTACCGCGGTCGGAGCTTTGTGCAGGACACGGGGTTGGGGTTAGAACTCATGGGACACGTTGGCTGTCACATTTGCTTCCTGACTGCAGCAGGTGTCTGCCGGCGTGGCGAAGGTGTGCAGCTCCCGTGCTGAACGGAGCTGATGATGGAGGTTCTGGGTGTGAGAACTGCAGACCTGGAATGAGTGACGTTTGAGAAACGCAGCAGGGATGGATTCTGAGAGAATGAAGTGACATCAGGAAATCCCAGCATGCATTTCAAACCCGTGCTTGGCTTTGCTGAGAACAGCGGGAAGCATTCAGAATGTGAGATCACAGGGTGGGCACAGCCCCCGTGGCGCCCACCGCTGGCCGGCACAAGGCAGGGGCCGGGGCTTCAGGAGTGGACCTCGTGGGTTCACTTTTCCTTTTCCAGTTGGGGTGAGAGTCACACAACACACAACCAAGCACTCTACAGAGTATGGTTCATGTCCTCCCACCTCTCCCAAGGGAGACCCCGTACCCAGCAGCCATCACCCCACTCTCCCTTCCCAAGCCCCACGGTCACCACCCTGCTGTCACTATGGAGCTGTCACTCTTGCGGGTTTAGAAGACGCTCAGTGTCCCCTCACTGTTCGCCAGACCACTGTCCCCTGTCCTGAGATGAGCTGGCATCAGCCTGGTGTGGCTGATGGAGAGTGTGGGCTGTTTCCGAATGGGAATTTCTCACTTAGAGTCTGTCTATCTGTGTCACACACTTGTCACCCGACAGACGGACTACTGGGACAGAAGGAACCAGGCAGGTGTCTGCTCCCTCCATGGATTGGGGGATTAACCCAGTTGTGCACACCTGAGCTCTCCGACCGTTACTTGGTCACCTGCAGAAGACAGGCTGGACACGGGGCTTGGTGTTCAGACTCTTCCCTACCCAAGTGCACAGCTGGCCTCGACTTACCTTTCTGTCTTCACCTCCCATAATTCCCCCAGGTCCTCTCTGCGTCATAAGCTCTGTGTGATTCCCGCCTCCCTGCGCCTGCCTCTGTCACCCTTCCCCCTGGAGGCACCCCCACCCCATGGCCTTCTGTGCCCAGTGTGTATTCAAAGCGTCCCCTCTGCCCACTCCCATCACTTCATCCTCCACCTGCCACAGCTTGTCCGTCAGGTGTCCCAGTGCCCGGCCTGCTAACAGAATAAACACAGTACATTCTGGTCACTGTCATCAGTTCTGCAGAGACTGCAGCTCTGCTTCCTCCCCGTCCCCACACCTGACCTCTGACCTCTGCCTTCCAGGTGCCCCCCTGTTTCTCTCCCACCCTCACTTCTACAACGCTGACCCAGTCCTGGCAGAAGCGGTGCTTGGCCTGAGCCCCAACAGCAAGGAGCACTCCCTGTTCCTGGACATCCACCCGGTGAGTGCTGTCCCCTGCCTGTGAGCAGGTTCCCCAGGGGACACTGGCCCTGCTCTGCCCAGCACAGAGCTGCCCCAGACCCCACTGAGGGAGGCTGGTTCCTTGGGCACTGAGTCTGAGACATCCAGCCATCAAAAGTCCCCACTGTACCTGACTCCATAGTTCAAGGATGTCATTATCTCTTTATGAGGATCTATAAAGGACCATATGGCAGTAAATTAATTAGGGTTATCAGCCCGGTGTGTCTCCTGTGCATTTGAGGGAGGCACCCTCGGGCTGTGTGAAGGTGTCATAAAGATGCAAAGATGCCGAGATAGCGAGGCTAAGTCAGTTTGGGAATTTGTCCCCTGTGGTGTTCCTGCTAGGAGCAGGGCACAGCAACAAACACATGGGTCCCAGGACCCACCGCAGCCCTTTCTGTGAGAAGTACCCAGCCGGGGTCACTGGCTTCCTCAGAAATCTGAGGGTGTGTTTTTGTTCTCCCCAGGCTGTTTTTACCCCTTTTTTTTTGTTGTTTGGTAGCACTCGGGTTTGAACTAACCTTGCAGCACTCGCTCGGCAGGTGCTCTGCCACTTACGCCACACCTCAACCTCAACCTCATTTTTAAATTTTTTTTTGGCAGTGCCAGGTTGTTGCACACTAGACAGGAGCCACACCTCCAGGCTCCTATAGACTTTTTAAAAAGTAATTTTAAATTGAAAAATAAAAGTTGCATTAGTGGTGTATGACATGAATTACACACGCTGTGAAATGGCTACATCAAGCTAATTACCCATTTATTTATTTGTGGTGAGAACACTGAACATGAGTCAGTCAGGTGTGGTGGTTCTGTAATCCCAGCACTGGGGAAGCTGAGGCAGGAGGACTGGGAATTCGTGGCCAACCTAGGTTACATAGCCATGTCCTGTCTCAGAAAACCAACCTCCCCCGGAAAAAAGAGACAACACCAAACCAAACAACCCCCAAAGTGCTCTAATGCGCTCTCTCAGCTGTTTTTTCAAGAATGGGATACATTGTTCTTCATGGAGACATTGAGAGTCACAAGGTGATACATTGTTGTGATCCAGAGCCGCTGGTCCCCAGCCCATCTCCTGAACCTATTCCTCCCACAGGACTGAAGTTTTATAGAGGGACAGCCCTCCCTTTTCCACACCCCCAGTCCTCGGTAACCAGCGTTCTGCTCTTGGCTTCTGAGTTCCACTCTTAGATTCTGCACAGCAGTGAGACCACGTGATATTTGTCTTTCTGTGCCTGGCTCATTTCACTTGACATAATGTCCTCCTTGGTCCTCCATGTTGTCACAAATGACAAGATTTCCTTCTTCAAGGCTGAATAGTATTCCACTGTATGTGTGTGTGTGTGTGTGTGTGTGTGTGTGTGTGTGTGTCACCTTTCTTTATTCGAATGAGTGAGCAAAGGGCACTGAGCTTGATGTCATTTCTTTGCAACAGTCACCAATGTGCCGGGAGCACAGGGTGCTGACATCTGGCCTGCTGGCTTCTCTTCCTGTGCAAGGGGTTGCTGGGCTCCAGTGGTTCTGTGCCAGCTGCCTGAGCTCCCTCATGGCTGACCTTCCCTAAGTCTGTCAGAGCTCCTTTGTGCACGCTGGCCCACTCCATTTTCCTGTGTCCTCCTCAGACCTTCTTAGCCACTGAGCAGACACTCAGCTCTCACTTTCTACCTTCTGTCATTGAAGGTCTGAGGCCCATGGCTTCCAGCATGAACGCACTCTGTTCTGTGCTTCTGATTCTTCGTTCAGTGCATGGAGTTGAGCTCGGGAGGCCAGAGAGAGGCCAATGTCTCCTGCTGTCTGCTGGGGACAAGTGGGGGCCAGGAGAGAAGGAGGGAGGGAGTGGCCCTTTGTTGATCTGGGTGTCCTGGCGGGGACACACACACTTGCCATCCATTGGCTTCTGGTGGCCGCCTTCTGCTCCTAAAGCCAGGGAGGGTGTGCAGACTGGACTGGGCTCTGAGTTCAGGTCTCTGTTCTGTAGGGTACATGGGACACGCAGGCAGGATGTCACCTACTAAGAGGGGGCCTGCCAGTACTGGAAGGATGAGCCAAGAGGTTATAGGACAGGTTTTCTAGAGAAGTGAGTGGCCCAAGTAGAGACCCCAGAATGAGGAGAGCAAGCCAGTGGCAAGTCACATCTAGGTCCCCAGGGCTGTCCCCTAGGCTTGGTGACACTCCCAGAGGATTCAGTTTAGCTGAGGTTGACCACAGAAAGGATGAAGCCTAATGGGCAAAGGGGCAGGGTGCGTGGAAGGAAGTCAGAAGCCAGGGCTCTGGTGTCCCTGTCCCTGTGGTGTCACACAGATATGACAAGTTCCCAGCAGTGAGTGTGACATGTGACAGGTGCTGTCTACCCAGGAAGCTGATAGGACCAGGTGTTTGGGGCCTGGTCACAGAGTACTTCAGTCCCTGCAGCATCCCAGGGAGACAGCAGGGCCCAGCACTGGCTGTGCACTCAGTCCTCACAGGACCATGCAGGAAGCCCCTCTTACCAGGTAACCTGAACCCCACGTTCCCAGACTAGTGCTGGCCGCTCATGTCCCCAGCCGCGGTGAGCAGGTCTGTGCGGCCCACCGCGGTGTGAGCTCTACACACACGGTGACCTCGTGCTCATCGTCCTGGTCCTCAGTCCTTGGCTCCCAGCACCCAGCAAGGCCTTGGCCCAGCTGCTCTTTGCCCGGGTTGGGAGGGCCTGGGATGCTTGGCTGTAACTGAGACGATTCCCTTCCCGTGTGGTGTTCGTGACAACTGCTTTTGTGACCCCACCTATGGTTACCTTATTTTGCCCTCACAGAACGTTAGTGTGCTGGGCACAGGTAACTCCATTTTACAAACGAGCCCTGGGCCTCTGACCTCTGACCTGGGATCCTTCCCAGCCGTTTCCTGACTTCATTCCAGATTCTGGAAAAAAGTATCTCAATTAAAAAAAAAAGAAATAGCTTTCTGCAGAAAGGAAGCTGATTATTACCACCTCAAATAGGAAATGACAAAATTCTACAAAATTAAAAAAAGACAAAGATAAACAAGCACAGCCAGGTGCCAGGGGCTCATGCCTGTCATCCTAGCTACTTGGGAGGCTGAGATCAGGAGGATCAAGGTTCAAGGCCAGCCCAGGCAAAATAGTTATCGAGACTCCAAAATAACCAGAGCAAAATAACCAGAGGTGTGGCTCGGGGGGTAGAACACCAGCTTCGCAAGTTTGAAGCCCTGAGTTCAATCTCCAGTCCCACCAAAAAAAAAAAAAAAAATGAAATAAGCACAAGGAAGAACCTGTCCTTGGGCTCCCGGTGTGATGCTGTCACCTGCAGAAACGCAGTCCTGTGCAGGTGTGTCACCGAGCCTTCGTGTTGGGGAGGAACTGAGCAGACACCTCGCCTGTGGTACTGAATGTGGAACTGGGAGCTGGGAGTTAGGAGACCCCGTGAATGTGGGTTGAAGAGGAGTCACTCCTGTGATTGCGACATTAGCACAATAGCTGGGGACAGACAGTGGGGTCTTGCTGACCCCAAGCTCCCATGACCCAGAAAAATACCAGCCCTACTCTGGGCATACAAAGCCACAGACTCCCTGTCACTGGAAGGAGTTGATGACATGAAGCCCAGTGCCCCAGGACAGGACCACCCATGTCCACAGGCCCCAATAAAAGCTTGAGGTCTGGGGACCCCCGGTGCAACTCCGTCTTGAGCCCACCCTCCTGTCTGCAGGAAGCCCTGCTTTGCTCTCGCTTTGCTTTGCATCCACACGCCTGCTCCCGCCTCAGTCTCCTCTGCGTCCATCCTTCAATTCTTTCTCCCACAAGACCAAGAACCTTCTGGGCCCCAGCCCCAGTGACAGAGCAGCGTGGGCACAGCCAGAGCCTTCCAGCTGGTGACAGGCTGGCCCCGTAGAGGTGGCCGGTGGGGAGGGGTGTTTTCTGTTGGGAGACTTAGCTCATGCATGCAGAATTTCTGGGGCCCTGGACGCCCCAGCCTGTGGCTTGTCATGGGGGACAGGAGCGAACCCTCTGGGGTGTGCCCTGTGGAGTGGGGCTGGGAGGGTGGCTGGCTCCTCACTGTCTTGTCGCCACAGGTCACCGGGATCCCTATGAATTGTTCTGTAAAGCTGCAGTTGAGCCTCTACGCCAAAGCCGTCAGGGGCATCGGGTGAGTGGGGCTGGAGCCACATTGCTCACTTCCCACAACGGACGCGCCTGGGAGCCGGACATGGGAGGGATGTGGGGGGACGTGGGAGGGACGTGGGAGGGACATGGGAGGGACGTGGGGAGGGACGTGGGGAGGGACGTGGGGGGACGTGGGAGGGACGTGGGAGGGACGTGGGAGGGACGTGGGGGGACATGGGAGGGACGTGGGGGGGACATGGGGAGGGACGTGGGGACATGGGAGGGACGTGGGAGGGACGTGGGGGGACGTGGGAGGGACATGGGAGGGACGGGAGGTCCCTGCTGGAGGATCTGGCCCAGCTCACCTTCACTCTCAGCTCGCAGCGCCCTGTCAGATCCCCTCTTCCTGCCTTCACCCCCTCCCCAGAGTTAGCCAGAATGTTCCAAGCTGTTTCTCACTCCAGACTGGAGAAATTAAAGCGAGGCCAAACCCCGTGTTAAATGAAAACTTGCCGAGGGCCTGCCTTGTAAGTGCAAGGGCCTGAGTTCAAACCTCAGGACCACCAGAAAAAAAAGAAAAATGTACTGAACGGTGTGCTTAAGTTTGCTCCCTTTCCAGAGGAATTTTATAGGCACTTGTTTTTTTATGTTTACGATAACAACTTTAGGGAGATATAATTCATATATCATAAAACCTACAATTCAGAGGCTGGGGCGGGGCTTGAGTGGTGCAATGCTTGCTTAGCAAGTGCAGGACCTGAGTTCAATCCCCCGTACCCACAAAGAAAAACACACAAAAATAAAACGAACAACTCAGATTTGTGCAACCACCACGACCACCACATGAAATTTTAGAACATTTTGATCGCCCCTTAAAGGAATCTCTTCCTTCCCTGACGCCCAGTCTTCCTTCTTTCTCTGGATTTGCCAATTCTGGGCATTTCATACAAATGGAACCACACACACTGTGGCCTTTTGTGACTGGCTTGCTTCACGTAGCGTCCTGTCTTCAAGGTCCATCGTGTGATCGAGTGTTGGTCGTTTACACGGCTGAATAATATTCCACCATAGGTAGACCACATTTTATTTATTGGCTGATGAACACTTGGGTTGGGTCCAGTTTCATCCATTGTGAGTGGTGCTTTGTGCCTCGGTCTGTGTGGACAAGTGTCCCCTTTCTCCTGGGTCTGTACCAAGGAGGAACACGTCTGAGTCACTGGTAACTTTCAGTGCCAGCCTTTCTCATAGGGAGACCCTGCTTCAGAGTAAACTTTAAATTTTTAGAAAGGTTTCATTGTCATAGAAAAGTTGTAAAAATGGTTTTGTGCCTTCTTACCCCCACTCCGAGCTAATCCTCACCCCGACTTGTCAGCCTCTTGCATCAGTCTCCACCAAGGAACGCCAGGTGCGGCTTGTTTTCAGAGTCGCTCAGGTCCCGCTCCAGGACCCAGGGCACATCAGGCACCTGCCTCCTTAGCTCCACTTGGCTATGACTAGAAGATGTCCCCTTGCTTTTCACGTTGACAATTTGACAAGGACTTGTAGGGTGTCCCCGCCCCTGTGGGATCCGTCTAGTGTTTCCTGATTAGACTGGGGTGAGGGTTTGGGGGCTGAAGAGCATGGAGTTCAGGAGCCATTCCCATCTCCTAGCAAGGGCCTTCTCATGTGGTGTTGACCTGAGCACCTGGACGAGGTGGCCTTTGTCAAGTTTCTCCAGTGTGAAGTCCCAGCCCTTTCTCCCTTTAGAGTTTGTTGCATTTTAACTCCACACACACCTTTGCATTTGCCACGTATGTGGATTTATCTTCCTGTGACCCTCTCCCCTCACTTCTCCAGCGGTCCCCCCGACACACACATATCATGGGTTTGGTGTACGTCCCTCCAGGTCCTTTCTACTTATTTCTATCCATGTATGTATATGTTGTCATAGGGAAAATCCATATTCTGTAACATGCAAGGTCTTGTTTTGATTATACTTCTGTAGCTTGAGTGACTCTCAGATGTGTTCTTTGGTGCATTTGTGGTATCTGAGCACCTATCTTGTTCCTTTTTCATTGCTGCCTAGTATTCTGCTGTGTCACAGGTCAAACATTCAGATGGTCTCTGTTCTTGTCTTTTTCTTTCGGTTTGCTTTTGTGACTTCGAGAGGCACCAAACATCCTTAGGCCTCTCTGTACACACGGGCATCTCTGGGGCAGTCACTGAAGTGCGTAATTGCTGGGTTTTGGGGTATTGTGGTGGAGTTAGATTTGGCTGAATACAGCCCCAAAATGCTGTGTCAGGCCACACTCAAATGGGTCAAAGTTTTGTTGTTACTGTTTAAATCTTATTTTAGAAGCTGTCAGGAAGCAGACAAGCCCAGAGTGGCATGAAAGTTCCCCAAAGACATTCATGGTCAAATCTAAGCCACTCCGTCATCTTTCTGTTCCTTTTTCTTTTTCTTTTGCCGAGCCAGGGATGGAAGCCAGGGCTTTTCCCGGGGTAGCAGGCACTCCACCAGTGATTTCTCAGCACACACCTTTCACCTTCAAGCTCACCTCTGCTCCATGGGCTGCCGAGGCTGAAACTGGAGGTTTAGAGCCCAGGCCCAGCCACGAGGCCCTACAGGCCAAATAAAAGGCAGAGAAAGGACGTTTATTCTGTGGTGCAGGCATTTTATGTCAGACGTGAGCTGTAGGTTTCACTAGACAAAGAACTGGGGGCTGGGGAGAGAGGTAGGTATACTAATCAAATAGTCCTGGTCACAGGGGCATTCCAGTGGGTCACTATCTCCCTCCTTTGTTACCTGGCAGGTAGTCTATCCTGAGGAGGCTCTCTTGTTCCTTGGGGTAGTTTCAGTCCCTTGTCATAAAGATGATATCCATCAGTCCTGTCTATTCTGGAGCCCCAGGTGATTGCAAAGTGACTGCAGAGAGAATGGCTTAGAGCAGAGATGCAAAAGAGGCAGGGGTGGCGAAAGAGAAGTGTTCACTTCCCAGCTGTTCTGGGAATGCTTCTGCTAACGTCTCATGAGCCTGAACTTGCTCACACAAGCTCCCAACTCCCCGGACACGGACAGTATTTGAGCTGGCTGAATTGCTGTCTTGCATAAATTTCAGGCTGTTTCTAAAAGGAACAACAGATGGCTATCAGCAAAGTCACTGACAGCCCTTGCCATATAGGAGATGTGAGTTTAATTTTAAGAGAAGTTGCTCCCTGCCAGGAAGCCCCCCACCCCCTGCCACCCCGAGCAGCACAGCACGGTCCCCAAGTCCCAGGCCTGCACGGTGGCGAGGCTGTAAGGCTCCTGGATCGCACACCCAGCTACGTGACCCACAACACCAGCAAGGCTTCTTTCTCACCTGCTTGTCTTGCTTGCTTCCAGGCAAACCGGGAAGATCCAGCCGGTGGTCCTGCCGCTGGTGTGGTTTGAAGAGGTGAGGCTGCCCGAAGAGGGTGTGGGGTCAGGAGCCCGGGGGAGGATTCGTGTGCATTTGAGGAGTGTGTGGGGTCATTGTAGAGAGACACAGGGCCGAGGCAGGGTGGACAGTGGGCATTGCCCAGTGCTCTAGAAACTGCCCTGACCTAGCTCTTCATGTCAACAATCCCAGGGAGCCAAAAGGACCACGGGAGACAGGGAGGCAGGTGGCAGCTGCATCTTGTCAATGCACTGGTCGCTTCATTGAGGGGAAGAAGTTGGTTTGGAAGGAGCCAACTTTTCCCTTTAACTTTATTCTCTCCCAAGCTTTTCAGTGTTTCTTCTGGCCTAGATTTCTTTTATTTTGTTGTTATTTTTGGGCCGCACAGGGATTTGAACTCAGGACCTCACACTTGCTAGGCAAGCTCTCTACCACTTGAGCCACTCTGCCGGCCTTGTTTTGTGTTGGGATTTTTTTGAGATAGGGTCTCGGAACTGTTTGCCCAGGGCTGGCTTCGAACCTCGATCCTCCAGATCTCTGCCTTCCAAGTAGCTGGGATTCCAGGTGTGAGGCACCAGTGCCCGGCTATGTTATTTTTATGTTGTGTTTATTTTATTATTTTATTGTCATGTTATATTATATTACGTTATTTCCAGTCTACCCAGACTTAAACGAGGGTTTGCTAATGGCCAGGGCAGCTCCGAAAGTCAAGTTCAGGTCCCAGGTCAGTTACAGCTTGGCGGAAGCGGAGCGTCGCACCTCACAGACGTGGAGGGCGCCAGGCGCTTTCCGTCCCCTTGACCACGCCCCTAACATCCTCGAACTCCGCTCATTGGGTACGGAAAGAGATGGGCGGGACTTATGGGCCATAGCCACCTTCCATTGGCTACAGCTTGATCACATGACTGAGCCTGACGGCAAGGGAGTCTGGGAAATGTAGTCCGCCGAGTGCCGTGTGGAAAGTGGAGTCGCCCGCCGACGCCCCAGCCCTGGAGCTTAGGAGAGCAGGGGGACAGAACTATAGAAAAGGGTGCTTCGGCGTGGCTCCTGCGCCCTTAGCTCGGGACTAGTTCACCTGTTCGTCCTTCTGTCCCCCAGAGCGGAGCCATGGAGGGCGAGCCGCTGAGCACGTTCTACACGCAGCTGGTGCTGTGGCCCAAGGTGATGCAGTACGCGCAGTACGTGCTGCTGGCGCTAGGCGGCGCGCTGCTGCTCGTGCCCGTCGTGTACCAGGTCCGCAGCCAGGTAGGTGGCCGCGGGCGGGCGGGTGGGCGGGGCGGGGCGGGGCGGGATGCGCGGGATGCACGGGATGCTCGTCTCTGCCGCGCCGCCTCTCGCATCTCTCGCACCTTGTGCTCCTCTTCTCTGTCCTGAAAGGCCTGGGACCCTCCCTGGAGGGGATGCAGGTGGGTGCCAGCGTGAGACCTGGTGCTTAATCATTTGGTCACCAAGTGGGCACCTGCTGGATGCAGGGCACACAGACAGGCGGGACCCTGCTTGAGGTGGAGGGGTTGGCATTCTGGCCGAGGAGGTACACGAACACCAGGTTCAAAGTCAGGTGTGGTGCACACGCCTGTAATCCCAGCACCCCCTGCAGGCTGAGGCAGGAGGAGGGAGAGTTCGAGGCCAGCCTGGGCTACATAGTGAGACCCTGTGTCAAAAAACTGTAACAACAATAAAAACCCAAGTAGGAAACAAAAGATTTTACCACCCATGAAGGTGTTAGAGCCACTGTGATTTAAGTGTAAATTTCCTAATGGTCACATTAAGTAAAATGGGTGAAATGAATTCTAATTGTAAATTTTGTTTAAGCCAAGTATATCCAAAGCATTGCAGCAGTATAAAAGACATAGAAATTGTTGTGTGTGTTTTTTTTAAATTTCTTTGAAATCCAGTGCGTATTTTACACTCCATCCAAATTTCACTGCGTTTCAGGGGTCCAGTAGCCGGGTGTGGCTGTCATCACCTGTCTGAGGGGACTGGATAAATACAGGCAGGGACTTCACACAGCAGTGCAAAGGCCCTGGGGGCACATTGAGACCAGGGTGGCTGAGATGGAGGGACAGAGGGAGTAGGGGAGCAGGAAGGATGTCAGAAGGGGACAGGTGGGTCACCAGAGGAGGGTCACACAGGGCCCTGGGATGCAGGTGAGCAATTTGGAAGTGATTACTAGAGTAATCGGAGGCCTTGGTCAGTTGTAGGCAGACGGCACCTGGGTTGAGCCGGGCAGAAGCAGGTAGGGGCAGACTGGGGCAGGGCGGCTCACAGCAGGTAGAGAATGCAGGCGAACACCTGCTTTCAGCCCCTAATAGAGACAGGAAGTAGGACAGGGGTGACAAGCACCCCTCAAGCTTGGGGCCTGTCATCCACCCAGTGACTCACGGCCTTTACCTGCCAACATTTGCCAAGTCACTTACTTTTTGTGAGGTGCTGTGGGCAGATCTGGGGTGTCCAGAAATGACCAGAACATGAGGTCTGGAGACCAAGGTCAGGACAGTCTCTCAGGCAAAAAAGTCTGTGCAGTCGCACGGTGACGGGACGGTCATGACCACAGTGATGGGTGGGAGGAGTCTGCAGAGGTTGGCCATGATGCTTGCACCAGAAAGCCACCCACAGGGGCCCACCTGTGTCGTCCTGGGAGCACAGGCCGAGACCTTCCACGCTGCTCACTCGGTGCTGATGGCTTTCTCGCTCTCTGGTGGCTCTCTCCTGTCTCGGGGTGGAGGGGGGTAGTGAGGGCTGGCTTTGCTGGCTTGCTGTGGGGATCACAGAACTTTCTAGACTTTTCACCTAGGCCTGCAGGCCTCCACTTCCCTTCCAAGTCCCCAGCCTCTAGAGGATGTCTCCACGAAGTGGCCGCGAGCCTCCCGCTCTCTATGAAGCCACCTCCAATCTTGATTGTCCTTGATGTTGGTCTGTGCCCGTTCTCTGTCACTGTCCAGTGAGAGCTGGGTCCCACCAGGCTGGGACTGCAGCCAGCACAGGGGAGCCCTCCGGTGCCCTGGCTGGACTCTGCGGAGGACAGAAGGAACCAGAAACCAGGCTTCAGCCTGTGGAATCTTCCAGACAGGCGTCATGGTGGCCTGTAGTGAGACACCAGCTTCCTGGGGCTGGGAAGAGCCGAGGTCCAGACAGCCTTGGTCCTCTGGTCCCTTCTGTTCCATTCCAGGAGGACCGAGGGGAGGGAGATGGCTCCCTTGTCCACCAGGAACGTGTTTGTTTCTGTGACCCTGTGCTCAAGACACCTCTCCCTGTGGCGGCCAAGGGGTTGAAATGTGTCTGTTGATGTCTGCTTTGCATTTCTGTGTATTTGTCCTGATTTTTCCTCTAAAAAAGTTTTTTTGCATGCTGGTCAATTCAGTGTGTTTTCAGAGAAATTTCTCTTCTTAAACAGTTTTTTGTTTTTGTTTTTGTGGTACTGGGCATGGAACCCTAGATCCAGGACTTTGAGCTTGCTGGGCAAGTGCTCTACCCTTTTCGTTTGCATTTTGTTTTTGACAAGAGTCTCCCTAACTTTGCCTGGGCCAGCCTCGAACTCTCCATGCTCCTGTGTAGCTGGGATTACAGGCGTGGTCACTACGCCTAAGGCTGCAGTCTTTCCTTTCCCATGGCTGGAGATGGAACCCAGGGAGGCCTGGCACACGCGAGGCGAGCGCTTTACCACAGGAGCCACACCCCAGCTGTGTGCAGAAAAAGAAAAAAGAAGTATTTTGATGGAAAAATTGGCTTTGGGGACTGAAACACAGTGCATGGGACTGGGGTGCGGCTCCGAGGTAAAACCACATGCTTTGCCTGCACGGGGTCCTGGGTTCGAATCCCAGCACCACAGAAAACCAGACCAACCAAGACCACTTGCCACACCTCGATTCCATGATTCTTGGCCAGCTGGCCCTGCCCACCTCTCGCTTCCTCTGGTGGCCCCGTTGTCAAGTGAAGGACCCTGGCCAGTTGACTTCTCCCAGAGGATGCAGCCACCATAGTGGTGAGGGACCTGGGACTTCCATTGCTGCTCCTTGCCCACCTGTCCTTAGCTTTGGGGGACACGGTGGCGGCCACGGCGGTGGCCGTCACACCAACTATAAACGAGCTTGGTTGTCTTGTAGGCGAGGTGCCTTTTATTTTGGAGTAGCAATAAAGAGGGCTCAGAGGACAAGGAGGCCGTTCAGGCCTATTCTGAATCACTGATGAAGCCACCAGCCAAGGGCACGGTGCTGCAGGAGGCCAGACTGTAGGTGCGTACCAGGTAACCCCGCCCCCCGGGGACCCGCCACCTCAGAGTCTGCTGTGGCCCTTGCTGGGGGACAGGCCGCCCTCTGATGTTCCCCGAGCGTCCCCCGCGTGGGACGCTTTCCTGGGTCTCCAGGGGACTAGTTCCGGGGCCTGCTGTGTTATTGCAAGGTCTTGCTAGAAAGGCGAGATCACGGCCAGGCCTGCTGCCTCTCAGCCTTCCCTCCCGTGCGTTACCCTCCCCACCCTGCCCGGCCCTTTGCTAGCGGAGGCCAGAGAGTCCTGGAATCGAATCCTGCTGGCCTGCGAGGCTGCATTTCAATGATCCCCAAAGGGGATTTTGGTGTCGGAGGCCCAGGGACCATTACACAAGAAACATGGGCCTGAATCTTGGATGGCTGACCAAAACCAAAGAATTTAGGCATTAATTGAGCACTAGATGTATATCCAGGCCTGATTGTCGGGCTGAGCACAAACAGGAAGTCTGGAACACTCAGTTGTCTGAATTTCAGGTCGTTTTTAGTAGAGCTGTGTCGCCTGTGCGCTGAAAGCCTACTCTGCCAGCCTGTTTTATCCGCAGCCCTCCCTGTGGAGGAGGTGGCCAAAGCCCTGGTTCCTTGTGACCTCTAGGGCCAGGCCTCAGGAGCTAGTCCCCGTGTCTCTGCCAGGCAGGTGACAGAATAGCCGCAGGCCCTGCAGTTTGGGGTTGGCAGGGTGAGTGCCCCCATGTGCCTCAGGGATGTTAGGCTCCAAGGACCCTCGTCAGGAGGGCGGGAGGTGACAGCCCTGCTCCTCAGCCAGCTGTCACCTCCACCTCACTCACTTGGCTGCCAGGGCTGTGGGAGGAAAGAACACAGAAGCAAAGTGATGGTGACTGACCGCCCGGGAGGAAGGACAGTGGGGTCCAGCCAGGCTCAGGCTCCCGTGCCCACCTGGGAACAGCAGGGCAGGTCCCAGTGCGTCCCTGAGGGCTGAGGAAGGGCCCCAGGCTTGGGACAGGGCAACCTGGCCTGTCCCCACTTTCTTTCCTGGAACCTTAGCACTGGGTCCCCGGTTGGTGGGTGCCCTGCTGTGTCCGGCACAGGTCCCTTGTGCAGAAGCAGGCTGGGTGGCTGGGGACCGCGGGCACCCTCAGGCAGAGAGAGCAGCAGGCCACTGTTAGCACAGATGACTGGGGTCCAAGGTCACTGCACCTCCCTGACTTAACCAGGGAGCCCCCACACCGCTAACGAAACCAAACCGCTTTTCTAGAGAAAGGTTTTTCTTAGAGGATCCACTGCCTGGTGGCAGGTGGTGTGAGCCCCACCCAGAGCCCAGCCCAGCCCAAGCCAAGAGTATTTGGGGACTGCAGTGTCCTCGTTGCCTTTAGTGTGTGTAGGGGACGCCTGGGAGCCCAATCCCTGCAGGCAGCGTCCACCCCTAGATGAGACCTCCTGGGAAGACCCCACCCTTTGCTCTGCACCTGGGTGTGTGTGGGGTGGACCCAAGGGGCTTCTTTGCATGGAAGAAGAGGGGAAACGGCCTCACTAGCCCAGGGGATGGTTTTTAGATGAATAAGAGAAAGGTAGAGCCGTGGGCAGAGGGCTTGGCAGTCAGGTTTGGCTGGGTGCCTTTGGGCAGTGCACAGCCTGGACAACTGTACGGGGCGGCCCTTTTGGGAAATCCTCTGAACCTTTCTTACCTTCTCATTGCTCTTTCTTCCATTTCAAGTCCTCCTACGTCAGATGTGAGTTGGAGGGAGGAGGGGGAAGCTGCGGGGCGTTTTTGGGAGCTTTGTTCCTTTGTCTGTCTTGGGAAAGATCCTGGTCTCCCCTTTGGAGTTCTTTTTTGGTCTTTTTGAAAGACAGACCCAGCTGGTCTTGAACTCACCATCCTCTTGCTGGGATCGTAGGTGTGTGCCACCATACTCAGCTGTCCTTTTCTTAACTCAGTGAACCTTTACCGTGTGGGGTTCTGGTGGCCCCAAGGCCCAGTGCTGCCTCTGTGAGGAGGGACTGGTCTGGCTCCCAGGAGATGAACCAGCATGCCCACCCCTGCACCCTCTGTCTCCCCAGGGCTCCAGTTTGATCCCCAGCCTCCCCACTAGCAGCCCTTGGGGGCTGTGAGCAGACACAGGTGGTGGGGGGCTGCTGGGGTGCGGAGGCCTGTCTGTTCTCAGTCGCCCCGTGCTTTGCTTTCTTTGAGACAGTCTCACTGTGCAGCCCAGGCTGGCCTGGAACTCGCCATCCTCCTGCGCCCACCTCAGAGGGCTGGGACGACAGGCGGGGACGCGTCTGGCTGTGTCATTCTTATTACTGTTGTCCTTACTAATTTTTTTTTTTTGCAGTCCTTGGGTTTGAACTCAGGGCCTTGCACTTGCCGGGCAGACGCTCTACCACTTGAGCCATGCACTGACCCCCTTTTGCTTTTTTTTTTTTTTTTAATTCGTGCTTTAGTTATCTTCAGATGGGGTCTCGGTGCTTCCTGTCCAGGCTGGCCTGGATCACCTTCTCTTCACGCCTCCCGCGTAGCTGGGACGACAGGTGCACGCCACCACACCTTGCGTTTTATTGATTGAGACCTGGTCTCTTTTTTGTCTGGGCTGGTCTCAAAATTCCGTCCTCTTGATCTTTACCTCCTGAGTTGCTGGGATTATAGATAAGAGCCACTGTGCCTGGCTTACGAACTTTTTTAGTTGAGAAATATTTTTTAAAAATGTAAAACCAGATAAGCTACAGTCTGAGTCTCTTGGCATCTGTCCTTTCTCTGTCCTTTGTCCCTCTTCCCAAGTCCCGCTGTCCCATTCCCAGAGGCCACTGTGGGAACTGGGTGGGTATTTTCTTTCCAGATCTATCTGTGGCTCATGGATGACAGGTGGTCTTAACAGTTCACCCAAGCTCTGTGGTTCCGTGAGTCTCCAGTGACTGGCTGTCTCCTGCTGCTTCCGCCCATGGCGGCTGGACAGGGTCGCCCTGTCCTGTGACTGTCCTTTACACCCCATGTCCTGTGCACAGAGATGTGTGTCATTTCCTGTTTTTCTGGGGGGACAGTGTTGCACCCCAGCCCAGGCTCCTTGCTCTGGCCTCTTTCTGTCAGGCAAGTGTCTCTGGGCCTCAGTTTCCCTGTCTCATGGCACCCAGATGGTCCCCTGTGAAGAGCCGCTCTGCCTCTGCTTACCCTGGGGCACGTGTGTGGCAAGTGTGCCAGAGGGAGGTGGAGCGGGAATGGGGTCGGGCCGGTAGGGTTGGGGGACAGGCTGGTGACCCAGCTTTTCCTTTCTCCACAGGGTCGCGGTGACACTGGGGGCCAGCCAAGCCTGGTCTCTCGGCCAGACCGGCCCCCCAGCCTCTGCACCCCACTTCTTAAGGACTCTGTCAGCGAACAGGCCGCCAACCCCACAGCCTGACCCTGGCTGCCACACCCCCGCTAGGGGCAGCTGTGTGTTCCCAGGCGTGCGCAGACACGCAGGGATGGCGCTGCTGCTCTCTCTCCACGTGACCCCCGGGCCTGACCACAGGCACCATGGGCGCTGTGGCCTCTCTCTGGCTGAGCCAGGCTCTTACCAGCCCTGGTTCCCTCTGGCAGGCATGAAATGCTGAGACCCAGGTGGTCACTCACCCACATAGGACAGGCCTGTCAGGCCCAGGGCCCAGGCCGTGCCCTGGAACCCAGACTGGGGACACTGGTTATCTGTGCCAAAGCCGGGCAAACAGCCCGGCACCCAGGTCTCCACCAGGAACTGCTCCACCCCACAGGGCTCCGGGGTCCCTGTGTCTGTACAGGCCCAGAGTGGGTGTCAGCCCGTGTCCTCTGACCTCTGCTTACGCCACCCATGCACTGAGCCGGCCACTCCCTGCAGCTGTGTCACAGACCCTGTCCCCCCAAGCTTCTCAGCTCTTAGGTGCCAGGCAGAGGTGGAGCGGCCCGGGCTGGCGTCTGGTCGGGTAGCCTGGTGTGCCACCCCAAGGGCAGGGAGGCCCATCCGCCTGGCTCTGGTCTCTGCGGAGAGCCAAGATATGTTTTCTACTGGAAATGAGTTTTATCATCTTTTAAAATGATGTCACTATGAAGCAATAAAGTTTTTGTGAAAATTGAACGCTGGGGTCTGCGGCAGTGTTTGCTGGGCGGGGCTGGGATCGGGGTCTGGGTGCCCCGCTTGCTCAGAAGTTGTTCTGGTGGCCTCCAGGCTCGAGTGCCCCAGGGCTGGGCACCAAGCTGCCACTGCCGTCCTCCACCTCCAGCCTGGCGCGCACGTGTGTGATGCCTGCATGTCGGGAGCGGTGGGGTGGGTGGCGGCCCTTCCCTCCCGGCCACATGGAGCTCCTGGGCCTTATGTGCTCTCTGTCCCGGTTCCTAACGGACAGAGGTCAGGTCTCGGGGCCCTGCGTTTCTGTGTCACACACAGCAGAACAGAGAAGTGCTCGGGGGAGTGGACGCACGACCGTCTAAGTTTCCGTCGAAAGTTCAGATAGTTGCACAGGTCAAGTTTGTGACCTCGTCTGGGTGAGGTGGTTGTTCTGCCCTCCCACCTCCCCTCACCCTTGAACTTGCATTCTTCCTGGCCTTTGGGGTTTTATCTAAAGTTTATGCATTTGATGCTGTTGAGGCTTTTACTGACCGCCCCCCTCCCGTGTGTTCCTCAACACAAGCACCTGTGTAAGGTGAGGTGAACTTTTTGTTTTGGGGATTTTTTTTTTTTTTGTGGAACCGGGATTTGAACTCAGGGCTTCACACTTGCAAAGCAGACTCTACCGAGCCACCATTTTGCTCTGGGTATTTTCTACATAGGGTCTTGTGAACTGTTTGCCCTGGTTTGGCCTTGAACCGAGATCCTCCCAATCTCAGCCTCCCGAGTAGCTAGGATTACAGACTTGAACTGCCAGTACTTACTTATTTATTGGGACAGGGTCTCTCTAGGTTGGCTAGGCTGGTCTCAAACCCCCTGGCTCAAGCAGACCTCCTGTCTCTGCCTCCCGAGCTGGGGTCACAGGTGGGCAGCACCACACCGCGTGGTGAAAATGTTTTGGTGTCTCGGTCTTCTCGGCCTCCAGAGACCGAGGACAGCGCAGCTGGGGAGACTTTTTAACACCAGCGTTTTGATCCCAGCTCCAGGGCTGCAAGTCGGAGGTCAGGAGCCAGCACAGTGGGGTCCTCATGGGTGCCTGTCCCCGGCCTGCAGGCCACCATCTGTGCCCTTCCCGCCCTTCCCAGAGAGAGACAGAGACAGAGGTGTGGGGGGGGGAGTGGAAGTCCACGGATCCTTTGCTTAGGGCCCCGCCCTCCCGGCCTCCTGTCCCTTCCCGGCTTCCTCAGGGACTAAGCGCCTGCCATGCACCAGGGCCTCCTGCCCACGGAACTGGCGCCTCACAGACCCCCAGCCCGTGATCTGGGCCACCATCGGCTCTGAGCACAGTCTCAGAGGGAGCGCCGTGTCAGGTGGTCCTCGATCTGGCGGGGGTCGCGGGAGCATCCCGTGCCCTCCGCCCCGGGTTTGTGTCAGTCGAATCGGGTGTGCACGGTTAGTGAATTAACTCTGGATGGACCCTGGCCCTTCACTGTGAACCCCACCCCACCCCGTCGACATCTGTCGCCACCTGGGGTCTGTGAGGCCAGCTCTTCCCTGGGCATCACAGCTGTCCCCGTGTCACACGCCCCCACCTTCCCACGGACCCGGCTTTTAGCCGCACTCTGGTGGAGGGCGATTACAGTGTCCCAGCGTCGTGACCGAGCCGTGGTGTTGGGCCTTTGTGGCCACCTGCAGACCCAGGGTACAGTTGGGGCACACAGTGGCTTTGGGGACCTGCAGGGGGAACCGGAATGCTACCCCCCAGGACCCGGGTGGGTTTCACACAACGCCACACCTGCGCATTTTGTTTTGTCACCCGGTTGCTGGGACACCACGGTTGCCATCAACCCTTCGCAGACAGAATCAGGGCGCCACCTTGCTTTTCTCAGTGAGAAGCTGGGAGTGGCCTGTGCGCAGCGCACCCGCCATCTGCCGTCAGAAGCCACCTGCAGACTCGTCCCTGGGGGGCGTGGGGAGTGTCCCTTGGTGGGGGCCGGGGCAGGGCCTGCATGGCTACGTCCTGGTTGTGTGAGGACCTGCGTGTGAGCCTCGTCAGGACCTTTTGCTTCCACGCTCAGAGCCACTCGTGTAGAAAACAAGAGTGGCGCTCCGTGAAGCGTTCGTGTCCCTGCAGGAATTCTTCTCATTCTGTGATTTTTTTTTTTTTTGGCAGCACTGGGGTTCGAACTCGGGCCTCACGCTTGCTAAGCAGGCGCTCTGCCACCTGAGCCTCTCTGCCAGTCCTTTTTTTACTTTCTAGTCATTTTTCTAAGAGTCTCTGTTTTCCCCTGGACTGCAATCTTCCTGCCCACCCCTCCCGCATGGCAGGGATGGCCGGCGTGCACCCCCTCCCCCCTCCATCTCCCCCTCCCCCTCCATCTCCCCCTCCCCCTCCCCTCCATCTCCCTGTCCCCCTCCTCCCCCTCACCAGGTTTTTGCTGAGATGGACCTAGAACCTCGATCCTCCTGATCCCTACTTCCCAAGTAGCTGGGATTACAGGCATGAGTGAGTACGCCTGGCTTGCGTGACCATCTTCCTCTGAGCGTCTTTCTGAGGTTGAAATGGGTTTATTTCTGCAGTAATGTTTGTTCCTGTCCCCAGCCAACTGCTTCACTCAGGCCTTAGTGAGGAGGCCAGCATCTGTCCCAAAGCTGGCAGGACAGGCTTTAGGGACGCCTGCTACACCGTCATGTTTCAACATGGCACTGTCCTAGGGTGCTGTAGAAACTTTTTATTTTGGGGGGGCAGTCTGGAATTTGAACTCAGGGCTTGACACTTGCAAATCTGGCACTCTACTATTTGAGCCACTCCTCCAGTCCATTTGCTCTGCTTATTTTAGAGATGGGGTATCTCAAACTATTTGCCTGGCTGGCCTCAAGCCGTGATCCTCCCAATCTCGGTCTCCCAAGTGGCTGGGATTACAGGTGTGAGCACCCAGCTGTAGGAGCGTCCTGAGACCCAGCTCCACCTGTTAATTTGATTCCCTTTTTTATGTGTGGCACTGGAGTTTAGAACTCAGGCTTTAATGTGATGGGATTTTTCGAGATAGGGTCTTGAGAACTATTTGCCCAGGATGGCTTTGAACCGTGATCCTCCTGAGTTGCCGCTGACATTTTATTACTTAAAATCTTCATTTCAAGAATTCAGTTTGAGAACAAGGCAGCCATTTGTGAGATTACAGGGCTGGCAGTATTTTCCCCCATCGCGAGATGTCCCTTCAGGTACTCCACTCCCTGGAGGCCTCTGCTCCGCCCATTATCACGTCCTCCTACCCCAGCGGACCGGGTGGCCCTCGGGACACCTCGTCCTCATTAAAGGCCCAAATCCAGCCATGCTGCCTTCCCCAGGAAGCCTCCCTGCCCTCTGCTTCCTCCGCTTTGCGTCTTGGGGCTCCCAGAGCCCTTTGTGCCCCATTCCTCATGTGGGCCCTGTGCTATGGTAACCAAGGCGATCCCTGCAGTCCCGGTCCTCAGGGTTCAACTCCCGTTCCCACACAGCTCTCACTATGTGCCAAGCACTGGGGTCACCCTGCTGTCGGCTTCGCCCCTCCGCTTCTCTGGGGACCTGGATGGTCGCCTTGTTTTCTCCTTTAAGCTAGAGTGATTTGGGCAGGGAGGTGACAGAACTGAGAAGTGCCTGGTGCCACCCCTCGGGGTCAGGGTGGAGCTCAGAGGCAGTGGCTGGTGAGATGGTGGCAGGGCTGGGACCCTGTGTTCAAGTTGTCATCTGGTTCCTCTGCCAGGCTTTCTGCCATTTCCTGGCTGCATTGTCCACTCTCCATGCAGCCACTGGAGAGGGCACCTCTGTCACGGGGCCTGGCTTAGATGAGAGGTTAAAGTCCTCAGTGGTCCCTCCTCCCTCAGGCTGCAAGGCTGGACTCCTGGAATCGGCCACTGGGGGGCAAGCTGAGCACACACTGGGCTGCTGTCCCCTCCCCCCTGTCCCCTCCTCCCCTTTCCTTGGGGTGAGGATTGGTTGTTCTTGGGAACCTGGAACCTTTAGAAGTTGTGTTTCATGTAGGTGTTGGGAGGTTTTTTCCCCTAGGGGGCATTTATTTAATACCTTTCAGATTTGTTCTTTTCCTTGCAGTGCTAGGCTTTGAACTCAGGGCCTCATGCTTGTGAGGCAGGTGCTCTACCGCTGAGCCACGCCTCAGCCCCAGCCTTCACATTTTCAAAGGGCCTTTGAAAACCCTCTGTCTCTGAGGGACTTGTACCTTAGGACTGAAATCCAGGGGCACGTGAGGTGCAGTGGAAGGGCTCCAGCCTTGGAAACAGGCCCTGGGTCACTGACCTCTTCAAGGTGCTGGGCTGCCTCAGAGCAATTCATAACGTCTCTGAGCCTCGCCCTGCCCACCCAGGAAATGGGAGTAAATACGGATGCGATGGAGTCTGCAAGGGCTCTGAGGGTGGAATAGAAACAGTGTGTGAGCCCTGTCTACAGAGCAGGGGATGCAGTTATTAGATTCCTACTGCGTGCAGCGCACCTGCAGCTCTGACAGGCCCGTGGATTCCTTCATTCAGTGCACACAGTTTGAGTGGCATCGGGAGCCATCTTGGGCTGGGGTCCCCAGAAGCAGAGGCTGAGACAGAGCCTCCTGGATGAGAGGTGTTGGGGGGACAGGGATGGGCAAAGTGGGTTCCAGAGCTGAGGGCCGTTCTCCAAGGACAACCATGTCACACGGCCATGGCCGTGCCCCAAAGTCAGAGATGCACAGAAGCCGTAGGAAGGGAGACTTGGTGGAGCACACGCCAGGAAGCTTTGGTCCCCACAGGCTTACGTTCTAATGGGCAGTCAATGAACAAGCCAGGTAACTCCAGAGAGCAATGGTGCAGGCACGAAAAAAGCAAGGTGCTGGGCGAGGAGGAGAGGCTGCTGAGAGGAGAGTGAGTTTGTGGAAGTTTCTTCCAGAAGTGTCATTCATGCTGATTCCTGAAGGAGTCGGAAGACTCCAGAGGAGGGCACTTCAGGACCCGGGAAGTGCCTGAGCCAAGGCCCTGAGTCAGCCCGGAAACCAGGTGGGGTGAGCGGGGATGAGTGGGTGCGGTGGGAAGCGCCCAGGCTGAGGGATGCGAGGAGAGGAGTTGGGATTCAGAGTTTAAACCCAGCAGGAACCTCCTGGAGAGTCCAGTGAGGACGTGTGACTGCTGTCTCTCCTGTGTGGG